ATAATGGGGGAGTTGGGGGAGGGCATGGGAGGAGGGGAGAGAAAGGGAGAGGGACCTGGAACTGACTTGTGAAGCAACCTTGTTTCTTATCTAAATTTAAACTGAAAAATAAAAAAAATTTTAAAAAAAGATGCTCCCACCTCAGACTTCCAAGAAGGCTATGTTATCATATTATTTTTAATTGTGATTTTAAAAGAAACTAAAAATTAAACATTTGCATAATCGGATATGACAACATATACCTGCAATCTCAGCACTCAGGAGGCTAAAACTGGATGACTGCTATGAGATTAAGGGCAGCCTAGACTATATAAAAAGAGGGCCACACCAGTCAGAGCTAGAGCAAGACCTAATTTTAAAAATAAATAATTAGTAAAGGAAAGCATAGGTCCCTATAGCACCTAAAGTATATACCTATGGCTGGTGTATACACTGGCCCTGCCAACATCAGCAACAGAACATTTAAAGTGGGGATGAGAGTATAATTCAGTGATAAAGAGCTTCTTTAACACACAACAGTCCCTGAGTTTGATACCCAGCAGGGAGAGAGTCAGAGAGACAGGGACAGAGACAGAGAGACAGAGACACAGAGACAGAGAAAGAAGAGTTAAAAGCACTAGGAGGGAACAGAGCAGAAAGGGCTAGATGCTGAAATTAGCCCGACTTGGGGGATGGGGCAGCAAGGTAGCTGTGAAAAGACGAGAATGCTGTCAGTACAAGCATTAGGGCTCTTCTGCACTAAGTGGTTAGTCCTGAGCCTGCGGGAACTCAGGCTGGGCTGACTCATGGACGTTAGCCGTGTTCATGGTCCTTTGGATTGGCCATTCCCTTATGTGCAGATGTGCAGCATCACATCATCCAGAGGCCAGTTCTGGTGTGCTCATCTGATATGTGTGAGCAGAAAGGGGCATTAAGTCTCCTGCTTCCCCCCTGGTTACACAGACAAGGAATTTTTGACCTTCCCTTCTGATAAGCCAGTGCCTGTTGTATGCCCAACCTAGACAATCACAGTACCTGAGGAATGCCTCATGCTATCTGTCCTCATGAATCAGGCCAACCCCAGAGCAGAGACGCAGTACAATCACAGCATTAACAGAAAACAAGAAATCTGGCAGCCCATTCCATAGTCAGGAGAACTTACTGCATTAAGTGTAAGTCAGGGACACACACACACACACACACACACACACACACACACACACACCTTTTTTCTATTGGTTGTTTTAAGACAGGGTCTTAATATGTAGCCCTGGCTATCCTGGAACTCTCTGTGTAGACCAGGCTAGCCCCAAACTCAGATATCTGCCTGCCTGTGCCTACCAAGTACTGGAATAGTTGTGCTACCATATCCAGCCCTTGGGAACTTTTAATACAAGGGAGAATCTTAAATGAGAAGATTTGGGGAGGATATTCTGAGAAAAGCTGTGTTACGAGTCCCCTCTCCACTCCCAAGTCTTTAGTAACAAAATGGGGTGGATAAGGAAATGCCAAACTTCAGCCTTAGTGGGTTACCATGGGGCTGTTCACAGACCTTACTTACTATGTGACCTCACACTCAAGAAATAGAGAACCAGAATTGGTGCCTAAAAGAGTTCAGTAGCTCCCTACTGGTGACATTGTCAAATCCCAGGAGGACCTCCACATGCTAAGTATGAAGGTCAACATTCAGTTTCCATCCTAGTTAACACAACAGCACCCCAAAGCAGCTCAAAACCATCTGAGAGCTACTTGCTCTCCCCTCCCCCTCTCCTCCATCTGCCTGGTACTGGGTATTGAATGCAGGTCCTCCTACTACACAGGTGCTTTACTGTGGCATTATATCCCTAGCCCTCTCTGTTAACTGTTATTTTGAAGATTTTCTTTCATATTTAATAATTGTGTATGTGTGTGGAGCTGGAGTCTGTGGACCTGGAGCCAGAGTTACAGGCGATTGTACGCTACCTGACGTGGGTGCTAGGAACCAAACGCTGGGCCTCTGAAGAGCAGGGCATTATCTTCTTAACTAAAAGCCATTTCTCAAACCCTTTGCCTATTGTTTTGAAAGGGCCCTGACAAGTTGCCCAGGCAGGCCTTGAACTTGTGATACTCCTACCTTGCTCAGCCTGGAGTCACCAGGTCCCACTTCTAGCTCAGTCTTGTGGCACCTCCCTCTAAGTCCTGCACCCTTTGCCAGCAGAGAACTCTAGACCTCAGTCCCAGGGGCCTCTTACTTTCTCTATATAAACTCATTACCTCTGCTTGTTGACAACTTCCAAATGTTTGTCTCCAGTCCAGAACTCACCCCCAAACTTCAGCCTCAAAACAGTCTTTGCCTTTTCAAAGTCTGTACTTAGATGATTCATATATACATTTCCAAATTTCCAAATCCTTTCCTTCCAATCCCTGTTCCTCCCAAACTTCCCCACCTCAAGCAATAACAATTCCATCTTTTCATTTGCTCAAACAAAAGCGATGAAATCAGCCTAGCTTCTCTTTTTCATATCTTACATCCAGTCAATAGCAAAAATAATTTTGCAGTTGGTTCTATCTTCAGAGTAAATCCGGCATGAATCACTCTTACATCTCCTCCATCTTATACCTAAAGCATTTCACGTCTCCCAACTTCCTCCTTCCTTTCCAACCCGAATTGCTGCCAAAACTCAGGCAGCTTCTTTCCATGTCAGCAGATGGATGCCAGACCAGGCCTTTTCCGAGTGTAAGCGATGTCGTTCCCTACAAAAACCCTCTAGCGGTTTTCCATCTCTCTTAGAACCGCAGCTCAAGTCCTGAGGATGGCGTGTCAGACTCCAGCACGTGCCAACCCACCCCCTGCACACCTCCGACCTCATCTGGCCTCACACACTTCACTGGAGCACCTCCCTCTCCTTCCTCAAGAACACCATGCACACTCCGCCTTCTAAGTGACCCCACATAAAGCTGCAAATGCCGCTCCTTCCTTGCTGTCACGTTTCCCATCCCTGCAAGTGTGGCACTTATATGGTATGTTTCCTTGTGAAATACTGTCACTTAGGCTTTCTACACAAACATGTAGGTTCTATGAAGACAGGTTTTATTTTTGTTATTTTGTTATTCTGTTGTTAATTGCTGTACTGCAATGCTTCAAACAGAGATGGACATACAGCAGGTAGCCACTAAGCCTTAGTCCAATAATGATGCGCACATTATTTGAACACTTACAAGATAAAAAAAAGTAATCTGTCCAATAAAGGTCAACTCAGAGCAAATACAGGCCTGGGTTTCTCCTGATGGCTTGTCAATAGAGGTGAGCAAACAGACTGACCGTCCTGCCAGGCTCAGGGAATTTAGTCCAATAATGGATGATCAAATAATGACAAGCTTTTAAGTGATAGAGGGTGGTGACATAGCAACACAAAAGCTTGGCTCTACCTGAGTGAAATATCAGGTTGTGGAGGAAAATGCGCTGGAGGTAGAGAAGCCACAGGAGAGTGGTAGCAGGGTCACAGTTTCACCTGGGATTGCTTCTACCCAGTATCAAAGGTGTTTTAGCTGACCTACTGACTAGCACGGGGCTGAGAAGGATCAACATCCATTACAGAGAGGGAAGGTAAAGGGGAGGATGGAGCTGAGCCAGACGGTTATGTATGTGTCTTAGGGTTAGGCTTTAGCTGGTGTCAAGTTGACATAAAACTACCCAGCACATTGACCCCCTTTCAACTTGACACACAAACACATCGCTGTTAAGTCACAACCTTTCCTTTCTCATTCATCCCCAGGAGCTCACATTAAAAACATAAATAACTATAGAAGTCCCACCATCTTTACAAATTCAAACACATTAAAAATTCAGTCTCTGGCCGGGCGGTGGTGGCGCACGCCTTTAATCCCAGCACTGGGGAGGCAGAGGCAGGAGGATCTCTGTGAATTCCAGGCCGGGCTGGACCGACAGCCTCCAAAACAATACAGAGAAACCCTGTCTCGTAAAACCAAAAAAAAAAAAAAAAAAAAAAAATCAGTCTCTGTTAAAATATCCAAAATCTCTTTTAAAAGTTCAAAGGCTCAACTGTGGACTCCTGCAAAAATAAAAATTAGGTTAAATACCTTCTTCAAGAGGGAAGAACCAGATCACAGTCACAATCTGAACCAAGCAAAACCGAACTCCGACACTGTAAATACCTCAATGTTCGGTTACCTGGGAATCACTCATGATCTTCTGGGCTCCTCTAAGAGGCTTGGGTCGCTTCTCTGGCTCCGCCCTCTGCAGCACACACAGCTTGTCTTCTAGGCTCTGGCTGGCTCCACTCCACGCTGCTGCTGTTCTTGGTAGTCGTCCTGTGGTCCTGGCATCTTTAAAATGCTGGGCTCTTCTGCTGCAACTGGGTTTCACTTTCACCAATAGCCTCTCATAGGCTCTCTTCATGATGTCAAGCCTCAAACTCTCAGCACGACCCCTTCAATCCTGGGCCTTCAACTGCCATTGAGGCTGTACCTTCACCAATGGCTTCTCCTGGCCTCTCAAAGTGCCAAGTCTCAGCTGCTTTCCATAACCCTTCCATGCTTCTAAACCCAATACCATGTGGGTGACTTGTCGTGGTCTGGTCTGTATTAGCCCCACGTTGCAGGGGCCATCTATTTAGGCCTTCTTTCTCATCAATCGCTAATTAAGAAAATGCCCTACAGGCTTGACTACAGCCAGATCTTATGGAGGCATTTTCTCAATTGAGGTTCCCTCCTCTCAGATGACTTCAGCTTGTGCCACGTTGACAGGAAGCTGGCCAGCACAAGATGCAAAGGTCCTGGAGAGAGGAGCGAGCGACACGCCTAGAGCAGAGAGGGAGAGAGGGAGAAGGGGAAGGGTAGGTCGAGCTGGCAGGCCTTCCTGCAGGTGACACCCTTACTAAAGAAGAGTGGGAAGCCACGGGGAGGGCCTTTTCTTTTTGATATTTCCCTTTTTTGGATTTGCACTGCAACAGCAAAGCCAGAGCTTTGTGGAGAAAAGCTTGAGAAGTACCTGCCCAGTTCTAAGAAGTTCAGCCTGGAAGATGGCGGGCCCCACGGTGCGGTGTGGGATGCTCCTGGCTCGGAGGATATCTATGCCTCGCCTTTCCCTGGCAGGTAAAAGATGCCTACTTTCCGCAACGTACATGGACAGCCACCAGCGGGAAGCAAGAGCGAAGGAGCAATGCCACCTGGCTGACCTCGCACCCTTATTGGACAAAGCATGTGAGAGGAAGTTGCCTGTTAGCTCTTTATCAATATCGCGGTTTGTGGACAACATTTCATCCGGAGAAGATATAGATTCTGCAGAGTACTATCTTTACAAATTTCGGCACAGTTCCAACTGCTGGTACCTGAGAGACTGGACCATCCGCATCTGGATTAGACAGGGTCTGAAATATGGCGCACCAGACAAAGCCTTGTACCCCTTGTTAATAAGGTTCAGTATGGAATTTTTCCAGATAACTTCACATTCAACTTACTGATGGACTCTTTCGTAAAGAAAGAAAATCACAAAGATGCTTTATCTGTGGTTTTTGAGATCATGATGCAAGAAGCCTTTGAAATGCCATCCACCCAGTTTCTCTCTCTTTATGTTTTATACCATTGCCTGGCAGAGAAGACAGACCTCACATGGGAAGAGGAAAGAAACTTTGGTGTGTCTCTGTTGCTGCCAGGCCTAAAACAAAAGAACACAGTGGGCTTGAATTCCCAACTGTATGTCTAGCTGCTCCACCAGGTTTGCCGAGCCCAAGCTGCCTTCACCTTCCTGGGGTTGTATCTCTGAGGCCTGGTCAGCTGGAGATGTCACCTCCTACAGGACTCCGTCCAGCACATTGAACGCTTCCCTACATAGTTTGAGGTCTTCAGGGGAGGAGGCCAGAAGTTGCGTGAGTAGCACCTGGAGCAGGTGCAGTTGATCCAGAGGGAAGAGGAGCAGAGGGAGAGAGCTAAGCAAGAACACCAGGCACTGAATTCAGCAAAGACTGCAGCCTAAAGGGCCCCAGGCTGGCCCTGCTTAAGGACTGTATGGGCCATCGCAGTGTTCAGCCTGGACAGGATGGGACTCGGGACTGTGTGAGCCACCCCAGCTTTCAGCCGGGACAGGATGGGACTCGGCCTCTGCTCTCCATCCTCTCCTTTTCCCACAGCAAGCCATGCAGTAGCCTGAAAGCCACCATGCGCTGCATGTCAAGACACTGCCCATGCAGGTGTCAAGGGCCAGGGAACTAAGTGGCGAATGATTGGGCCAGAGTCACCAGCTAAATCTCTTAACGGGCTTTCAGGGCTCACAGTGGAGTCCTGGGCACAGAGAGTAAAACGTTCCCAATACCTGGTGAGGGTGATGGAAAAAGTGCTAGGGGAATCAATCGGTCTACAGCACACAGTGGGGAGGGGGGGAGGGAGGGGTGTCCCCTGCCCCTGCCCGGGCACTAGGGCCACAAGCTGCATGTCCTGAGAGCTTGTGCCCCACAGTCCCTGACCAGTGCGGATATCCAGATGACTGGGCGCTGGGTGCTCACACATTCCCACTGCCTCTTTCCACTGCACCTAGCCTCCTCTTTCCCTCTGGGAGAAGTCCAGCACAGGTCTCCAGACCACAGCCTCAATAGATTTCTGGTTGTCGGAACCCACTTTGCCCTGGGCGTGAGGTCCATGTGGACTTCTTTGGCATATGGGAGTAACTTTTCCCCAGACATTGTCACATATGTAAAATGAACCTTTGGCATAGGTGTGTGCACCCGTGTGCACATGCAGACAACTTGAGAGCAAGCCTTCCTATTGAAGCAGGAAAGGAGAAGGAGGGGAAGTTGAAGTGCAGAGCTGATGGAAGTCAGTGCCGTCTGTCAGATGGAGAGGATCAGGGGCTTTGCCTGCTGTGTAGGGATGCTGCCTTTAAGTGCAGGGGTACATCTTAGTCAAGGCTGTACTCTTCTATCAAAACCTGTAGAAATAAGGACGCCAAAGTAAAAAAAAAAAGGAGTTCAACCCAGGAGGTCTCCAGAGAAGTACAAGTGGGCAGCAGTATAGATCTGCCCCAAAGTAACGGCAGAAAATAGAAAATATTAATAAATTCAAAAGGTTCCTCTACTAATACAAAAAAATTGAAAAAGAGCATCATGTCCTGGTTTGCTTTGTTTTGCTTTTTGGTTGTTTTTGTTTTTAGTTTTATTTCATTTGCTTGCTTGCTTGTTTTGAAACAGGGTTTCTCTGTGTAGCCCTGGCTGTCCTGGAATTCTCGCTGTAGACCAATCAGGCCTCAAACTCACAGAGATCCACCTACCTCTGCCTCCTGAGTGCTGGGATTAAAAGTGTCTGCACCAGTGCCCAGAAACCATGTCCTTTTTTATTTCTGATGCTTGACACTGAGGAACTAAGGAAAGAGTTTGCACAGGCATTGAGGAGATGCAGAGGAGAGCAAGACTATGGGAGGCGAGAGGTTACCAAAAGCTAAGCGTGTGCTAGCCTTAAGTAGCCCTGACACCCAAAGCACTGGAGCTACTACCTGCTGGCTGCTGGGCACCCAGCATGCCAGGCCAAATGCAATCAAGTGTCTGACTCAACTAACTTATGCTAAAGTCTCTGACCCTGAAAGCCTCTGGTTGTTCTCTGTTTTATTTTATGCTTATGGATGTTTTGCCTGTGTATGCCAAAAACCTCTAGTTCTCAAAGCCTCTGGGTTTAAAAATCCAGCCAGTAAGCTCCTGAACTGTGAGGACTAGGGGAGCTGTCCCTCCAACTATTGATATTCCCATCCAAAGCCAGTTGGGGTGACTGTGTGGGGGAGGGGTGTCTTGCTGACCCTGAAACGTCCCTTCCAGGATTCACTAATCCTTAGGGACAGTGAATGGCTCATTGGTGAACTCTGCTTACTTATGCAAACTAGCCAGTCCACAGCCATCACCTCGTCCACGGGGATCTCACACTCTGCACCACTACTTACCCCCTAATCACTGCAGGCCAAGGGCTAGACAGCTAGAGAGAGCCTCAGAGCCTGCTGAAATTATCCAGGCTAGTAAGTGGAAAGCATGCTTACCCAGCCTTCTTCCACTCCTTTTCTCCAAAGACAAAATAAATGTTCTTGCCCACATTTTTCTCTTCTCCTGGAATCTCCTGGGTGTGTCTCTGAGTGATACATTATGCCACCTGTTTCTAGGCATCCACAAGTATAAAAATCTTCCCCAGTGTTAGATCTGTGTCTTTATATTTCCCAATACGTGCTTAAAATAGACACTGACATCTTTAAAATACAAGTAATACTTTCCAATTTGTAATCTTAGCACCCAAGAGGCTAAGGCAGAAAGGTAAGGAATTTAAGGTCATCTTGGACTACACAGTTAGAACCTGACTCAGAAAGAAGAAAACAGGGAACTAGGAGTAGGAGGAGCAGTAGGAGGGGGAGGGGGAGAGGGAGAGTAGGGGGAGGAGCAGGGGGAGCAGGGGGAGGAGGAGCAGAAGAAGCAGGAAGAGTGGAAGGAGGGACAGCAGCAGTTGGCATCAGGATATACACCTTAAGTCACTTGGGAGACAGAAGCAATCAGATCTGAGCCTGCTTTACATAGTGAGTTCCAAGCCAACCAGGGACACACACACACACACACACACACACACACACACACACACACACACACACACACAATAAATAATAAAGGTGAAAGTTTTTTAAAAGAAAAACAGAACACCATTTTTCAAAAATAAAACCATATATATTCTTAATTTATTCTAATTGGTGTTAGGGTGGTGAATGATGGTAAAATTCAAACAAAACAGCTTTTCTTCATTATCCCCTACAATGGCTTCTGCGACACATCTGTATTGGCCCTAAAATGAGGAATAATAAAGACAAGCAATACAAAATGTTAGGTATTGCCATTTCAAAGGCCACTGTAAGAACATTTTTTTCCTTTCTTTCTCTTTGTTTGTTTTGTTTGAGACCGGCTCTAACCTTGTAGCCCGGGCTGTCCTGGAACTCACTACGTAGACCAGGCTGGCCTCGAACTCAGAGATCTACCTGCCTCAGCCTCCTGAGTGTTAAGATTAAAGGCGTGAGCCTGGCAAGAACTTTTTTCTTATCAGTACATAACTTTGAAATTGAATTGGTTATTTTCTTGTGGTGAAAGGAATCAAACCCAGAGCTTGATGCCTGCCTGTCAATACTCTAGCACGGAGCTAATTCCCAAGCCCAACTTCATTTTCTTTTTTTTTTTATTTTAATTTTAAATAGCTTGTTTTACATGTCAATCCCAGTTCCCTCTCCCTCCCCTCTTCCCGCACTCCCCATCTCCCCCACCCTCCCACCCTATTGCCAATTCCTTCCATACAGGGGATATCTAGAGTCTGTCATTTCACTCAGGGCAGGGTCCAGGCACTCCCCTAAGAGTCCAGGCTGAGAGAGCATCCCTCTTTGTGTTATGGACACACGATGTCTGTTTGTATTCCAGGGATAAACACTGATCCACTGCTCAGGGCCCCATAGGTTGCCCAGGCCTTCTCACTGACACTCACATTTGGGGGGTCCAGATCAGTCCCATGCTGGCCTCCCAGCTGTCGGTCTGGGGTCCAAGAGCTCTCCCCTGTTCAGATCAGCTGTCTCTGCTGGTTTTGCCAGCCCATTCTTTGCCAATTTGCTCATCACTCCTCTCTCTCTGTCACTGGGTTCCTTGGGTTCAGTTCAGTGATTAATTGTGTGTTTGCCTCTGCTTCCATCAGTCCCAACTTCATTTTCTTAGTTTTCCAGTAGTATGAAAATCTGAGTGCCTTTTAAAATTGTGTGTGTGTGTGTGTGTGTGTGTGTGTGTGTCTGTGCACATGTGTGAGTGCATTCGTGCATGCATTCCTGTAAGGTCCATGTGGTGGTCAGGGGACAATACATGGGAGTCAAGTCTCTCCACCTGCCATGTGAGTCCCAGCAGAAAAACTCCATTCATCTTGGAGGTAAGCACCTTTATCCCAGACATCTTACTGGTCTCTGCATGCCTTTTAATTCAGTGAGTAGACTCCATTTGTTTCTCAATTAGAAAACGAGGAGTTTTATGATTCTTTAAAATAGCTTACAAGAGTTCAAATCCCAAAAATTGACATAAAAAAATTACAAAATATCTAGAACCAAAACTCTTCACCATCTTAATTTAAAAAACTATTCTTGACCATGACCACACTACCCTGAGCATGCCCAATCTCAATTGAATAACTATTCTTAAAAGTGGGGAATTGCTTATTTCAATTCTTTTTTTTTTTTTTTTTTTTTTTTTTGGTTTTTCGAGACAGGATTTCTCTGTGTAGCTTTGGAGCCTATCCTGGCACTCACTCTGTAGACCAAGATGGCCTCAATTCACATAAATCTGCCTGCCTCTGCCTCCCAAGTGCTGAGATTAAAGGTGTGGACCACCAACGCCCAGGGCTTGTTTCAATTCTTAACACATGAGGTTTGAATAAGAATGGCTCCTGTAGACTCTGGGAACCCATACCACGTGGAGGGATGCTCTCTCAGCCTGGACACATGGGGAAGAACCTGGGCCCTTCCCGGGATGATGTGACAGACTCTGAAAATCCCTCATGGAAGCCCTTGCCCTCCCTGGGGAGCAGAGTGGGGATGGAGTGGGGGTGAGGGGTTGGGAGGATTAGGGGCTGGGGGAGGAGGGGAGGGAGAGGGAACTGAAAGTGACATGCGTAAAAAGTTAAATAAAAATATATGGGAAAAAAAAAGAATGGACCCTGTAATGTAGA